CCCCCCCCCCCCCATTAATGTTGCCCCCAGGAACTGGTACTGCCTTCTGACCGGGTAGGCAAAGCGCCGGGTTCCCAACGTCATCGTGGACAATGTCTGCTTCGAGCGGGTAGTATTGAATCCCTTTGATTCCTCTCCAAATCCTGCGGACAGCCTGTAGGGGCTGACATAGGGCTTGAGAACGACTACAAGCTTCGTAATGAGCAACGGTTCCCCTACTGTCGAAAATTCTGGCTGAAAACCAGGATTATAGCATCGGGGCTCAAACAGCATCAAACTAGTCGTCAGATGCCCGGAACAGGGAAACATGAAGTCAGTTCCTGCACCCTTCGCCCACCTGGCGTTTGCTGCAATCCATGTCGCCCGAGAGTTGGGGAAGGAAAAGGGAAAAAAGTGGAAAGAAAAAGGAAGAGGACGACGCAGGGGTGAAAACTTCCCCGCTGTAATGGCAGGAGTGCAACAGGCGAAGCGGGCCGCTGGTCCACGCGGGCGGACGGGAATCAAATGGTATGGCTTATTGTTGATATTATGGCCGAACCCTGCCATAAAGGGCCTGCTCGGCTGCCGCCCTGTGAGCCAAGAGGCGTCACATCAACCAGCAGAGGAGGTGTCGGAAAACAAGCGAGGGAGGACGGAAAAAAGTAAAAGAAAAGAAAGGCACAAAAGGGGAGAAAGAACAAGGGAAGGGCTAAAAACAAGGGGGGGCAGACTGGGAGAACTGACGGATGCGAACAGCATCGCGCCCAAAGCAGACGCCTGCGGCGATGGTGCGCATCATCGGCCCACCCTGCATCACCGGAAACACGGCGAATCAATGTCTCTTCTTTGCCCGAGTTCCTCGGTGTGCACATGATGAACACGCCTCGGGGTACCCGCAGAATCTCTGAGTGTGGAGGTCGCCGCTTCCGCAGCCTCTCTGACTCTACGTTCGGGGCTTATGCTGTCGTAGGGTAGAACGAGCGGCGCAGTGGGGGAAGGGCGAAGGATGCGCTGCTATCAACTCCGGAAATGTGGGCCATATCAACATCAGGTACGCGCCACGCTGTCGCGATCGACCGAAACGAGGGAAACGTCGATCACCCGGGTAGGGTAGGGCGCTATACCCTGCCCCGATGATCTTCGGCTGGTGTCCTGCGCTCAGTCGCTCAACCCCGTCGACGTCTATAGTCTCCGATTCCCGGTCACGCGTAGGAAACGAAATGTAGTAGAGGCTTCCCGAGAAATGACCTTCGCGCCGTGGGTAGAGCTGCCCACCGTGGTCCAACTGCATACCCATTACAGTGTAGCGCCGGCTCCAGAACGAGCAACGCAAAGTACACCGCCACTGTGGCTGCGCTCCGCTGTGGGGCTGCGAACGTTACGGCTCGGCTCCGAACAGTTCCTTGGCGCTCTCGATGGCCAGGCGCTCGACAACACGTCGGCGTGTTCGTCAGACACGTGTAGTAACGCGCCGTACCGGGATATCCCTCGGAGCATACTGGTGCTTATTGACCTGGACCCCGATGCCAATACAGCCTTGCTGGCATAGCTTCTACGGAGGCGATGAGTACGATCGACTCCCGTTGCCTGCGGTCTTCACCCTCCAGCGCCGCGGCTATCTGCGGGTCCAATTCGGCTAGTGATGCCATGCGATTCTCCATTGCAAGTATTCTCGTCAGGCCCCTTCTGCAAGAGTCAAAAGGGCTCAAAATTGTTCATTTCCACATTTGATACTGAGTTCCAGTCTAAGCTGGCTCGGAAGAGGGTGTAGTCAACGATATATGCGCCTCCGAGAGAGTGGTATCGGGGCCATCCAGGCAGGCGTGATCGCTGGCCATATTTCAGCTCCTGCAGCCACTGCGTAAAAACAGGAATACGCCGATCGTGAAGGGTGCCAGTCCGGTTGTTCAGTTGTCAGGTCTTATCGAACCAGTATATGCGCGGATGGGAGCAAGACGAAAGTCGTTCGCCCTGGTGCTGCGGAGAGGTTGGTGCGATTCCAGAGTGCGTTGGCCAGTGGTTACCACCACGCACCACAAAAAAGTGTGAGCAGGGAGGCGAATTCCTTGAAGCGTGCAGAATTTGAACGTGGATGAACCAATCACTGGACACAATCACATGCGCTTCCTGTCAGGTGGTTCTTCCATGGCAACGGATTTCGCATTGTGGGTTAGATGCCTGTGTGCGGAAACCTGATTCCTGACCTGCCGCCTCTTTAACAGCTAGCAGCACTGCGATCAAATGCCACAACGCTGGAGAGCAACCTGGGTATGACTGAATCCTGGCAGTGCCAAAGCCTCGAAGTCCTTCGAAGTGCCAATGGATGACGGTGCCACGGTCTATGTCCGGCGGCACGGCAATCCCGACGGACCGCGTCTGCTCTTGAGCCACGGCTGTGGCATGGCCATCGACACTTATCTGCCTTATTGGACACTCCTGTTGGACAGGTTCGACCTGTTTCTGTTCGACCTGAGAAGCCACGGTTGGAACCCTCCAGGTCCCCGGATGGCTCAGAACATCCCTACCTTCGTCAGGGACTGCGAAAGCATCCTGCGGGCCATCGGGCAGAGTTGCGGCGAAAGACCTGTGATCGGTGCCTTCCACTCGCTGTCCGGATTGGTGGCCCTTCTCCACGAAGAGCAGTGGAAAGGATTCGCCCGGTCTGATGCTCTTTGACGTCCCCATTATGCCCCCGGGTGGACGCCCCGAAGACCTTGTCGAAATGGGCGAGGAAATGAGCGCAGCCGCCCGTAGGCGTCGCGACCGTTTCTCCAGCAGAGCGGAATTTGTCCACCGCATGAGGCGAAACTCTGTTTACCAGCGCCTTCCGGATCCTGTGATGGACCTGATGGCGGAGACCACTCTCCGCCCGGTTGACAACGGCATGGCATACGAACTGTGCTGCCCCCGCGACTACGAGACCCAGGTCTACGACTACCTCTTCGGCTGGGCCATGAGGGTCAACCTGAACAGGGTTTCCTGCCCAGTGAAAGTCGTTGGCGCTGATCCCACCATTCCGTTTTCCTTCATGCCAAGCATGGACCTTTCACAGCTCATTGGCCTGGACTACGACTACCTGCCCGAGGCAACCCATTTCCTCCAGATGGAAGAACCCGAAAAGTGCTTTGACTTGACTCTGGAATTCCTGGAAAACAGCCTGCTTATTTGAACCCCTGACTTCTACCCAGGGCAATCGCGTTTTGATGACACTTGCCCCTTCCCAAGCCTCATGACACACCCCTACCATGAATCCTGTGCATTCTCCCCGACATACATCTCGCCTGCGACTCCCGCGGCTCTGTCGACCAGCCGACAGACCCAGTGGGACAGAATGGGACAAAATGGAGCGGGAATCCGAATTTTTTGCTCTCTGCGGTCAATTTCGTAGCTGACGAACGCAGAAATTTGGGAAAATTGGGACGGAATGGGACAAAATGGGAATTTAGGCCGGATTCTCTGTCCCAAAATTCCCACGCCAAAGCCCGGAGTATGCCCCACCCAGCCGGCGTGTCTGCAAATATCTACAGAATTTGAAAATCCCGCCCCTGCCCGGAGGAGAAACCCACCCTGTGATTCCCCTGCCAGTGGCGATGAAGTCCCGCTGCATAACTGGGTTTTGCTGAAGCGCCATTGCCCCTTTCCTCAATACCATCCTCTGGCACCATCCTCTGGCGAAATTTTTTCTCGACTGCTACCCTTCTGGTGCCTTGATAGATCGGGGCAATCTGAGATGGGACCAGTAAAATGGCTAGCGATTACGATGTTTTGATAGTTGGCGGCGGACTGGCCGGTATGACCGCCGGCATGTATGCCGCACGGCATGGGCTCCGGACTGGGATCATTGAGCGAATGATGGGTGGAGCCTCCATTATCAATGTGGAGAAGGTGGAGAACTTCCCAGGATTTTCTGAAGGGATCATGGGGGCCGACCTCGCCGCGATGACCCAGGAACAGGCAATGACCTCAGGGGCAGAGTTCGTAATGGGAGAGGTGTCCGGCATTTCTACCAGCGGCGACTATCGCATCGTCAGCGCGGACTCCGGCGACCTGCAGGCCAAGACGGTCATAGTGGCAGCCGGTTCCACGCTGAGGCTGCTCGGAATTCCCGGCGAGGACGAATTCACCGGCCGGGGCGTTTCCCAGTGCGCCACCTGCGACGGCCCGCTGTACAGCGGCGAGGTCGTGGGTGTGGTCGGCGGCGGCGATTCAGCCACCGATGAAGCCTTGGTGCTCGCCCAGTACGCAGACCGGGTCCTGCTGTTCCACCGGCGCGACGAGCTTAGGGCCCAGAGGGAGTTGGTGGACCGGGTCCTGGCCGAGCCAAAGATCGAGGTCGTGTGGAGTACCGTGATTGAGGAAGTCCTCGGAGAAAATACTGTTTCCGGTGTCAGTACCACCAACATGGCTACCGGTGAGAAGGGAGCGCGAGAGCTGTCCGGTCTCTTTGTATACGTCGGGCTGGCACCCAACGGAAACATTGTGGACGGTCTGTTGGAAACCGACGGTGGCGACCACATCCCGGTGAACATATCAATGGAAACGGCCCTGCCCGGCGTTTACGCGGTCGGAGACATCCGCCAGCACTCCTCATCGCAGTTGGTGTCCGCAGCGGGCGACGGCGCAACCGCAGCCATCGCAGCGTTCCGTTATATTTCCGGAAGGTCCTGGGACTAATATAGAGTCAGGCAACTCGAAGCCGCGCCCAGTCGCGGCAATTCACCTCCACGGGAGAAGAAAATGGCCAGCGAATACATCGACCTCGTCGACGAGCAGCTACGGAACAGCAAGACCATCGCGGTCGTCGGTCTTTCCAACAACCCCGACAGGGACAGCCACAGAGTCGCCAGCTACCTGCAGAGCCAGGGTTACCGCATTATCCCGGTCAATCCGGTGATCGAAGAGGCCCTTGGGGAGAAAAGCTACCCCGACCTCAAATCCGTCCCCGAATCCATCGACATGGTAGACGTCTTCCGCCGCTCCGACCAAGTAATGCCCGTGGTCGAAGAGGCCATCGAGGTGGGCGCGAAATATATCTGGATGCAGGACGGCGTAATCAACGATGATGCCAAGGCCAAGGCCGAGGCGGCAGGCATCCCGGTAATAATGGACGACTGCGCCCTCCGCCAGCACCGCCGCCGCTTCAGCCGCGGCTAGCTCCCCTCAATCCGTTAGCGACCCCCGAACGGAAGCCGCAGGGATTTCTCCCTGCGGCTTCAGACACATCAGTTTCTGGCGCGGACAGTTACTCCGTGATCGGGACTTTGATTACCGTACCGTCTTCCTGGATAAAATACCCCACCACATTGGAAAACTTCTCGTTGAACACATCTATCCAGGGAGAGTCCAGTCCAACACGGCTGGCCCAGTTCGGAATCACGCCCTCAATAACTGCCTTGTCGCTCTTGGCTCTTAATTCCGGGGAGAACTCCGTAAACTCCATCTCACCTATCTCGGTGAGCTTCCTGAGCCCCATCTCGTTCTGGATGGCACCAAGCCGCAGCATCTCCATTTCAGCCTTGGCGGCCTCTTCCATGACTATCGCCTGCAGGTCGGGGGGCAGGCCTTCCCAGATATCTTTGTTCATAACCATGTCGTTGGCGGGCCAGCTGGTCAAGGGGCCGGTTAAGTAGTCGGCTACCTCATACCAGCGCTGCCCAAACCCAGCGTCGCCTCCAGTTACGCCAGCCCCCAGAATGCCGCGCTCCAGGGCGGTGTAGACCTCGGCGAAAGCCACGAACTGGGCGTCGGCACCCATACCGATTATCCAGTCGGAAATGGAGGTTCCGAAGGCGCGGGTTTTTACCCCCTCAAAGTCTTCCGGGGTCAGTAAAGGCTTCTTGCTGAAGAAGAAGAAGTCGTTCCCCGAGGCCCATTCCTTTATGACGAGCTTGCCGCCTCCGGTCGATTCCTCCAAGAGCGCCTCAACTTCAGGCGCTATGGCGGCCGTTGTGAAATATTGTTGCTGCCGTTCCGTGAACAGACCGAACAAGTATTGGATCTCGAGAGCAGGCACCTGTCCGGCCACATACGGCCCCACGACGCTGCCCGCGTCCAGCGTGCCGGCCGCCAGCAGGTTCGGGATGTCCGGCCCACCCAGCCCCAGCTCGGGGAAGGACGACATCACAAAGTCCACCTGCCCATTCGTACGCTCCGCCACGTTCGGGAAGTAAAAGGTCTCGATTACTTTGCAGAAAGACAGGGCGCGGTTCAGGCAGGCGTGCTGGATGGTAAAGACTTCATCCCTCTCCGCCAATTGAGTCGGGTTCTCCACGTTCGCCTGTTCGAGGAGGCCCTTGTAATAGTCGGACTCGAAAACGTACAGGTGATTCTGCAATGCGCCCAACGTCACGTTTCCGTCAAAGTCCCCTTGCTCAAGCGTAGCGGCGGGGCCAACCAGTTGGTTGAGATCACCCACGTATATCGCCCCGGGACCATTGGCAGACTCGTCGGCGTACGCCTGCAGTTTCGCCGAAACTGCTGTCTCGGATACCTCCTCGGGTTCCTGCTCCCGTGCTGCCGCCATTGTGGGCTCTTCCGTAGCCTGGACAACCTCCGTTGCGGGCACTGGCGTGTCCGCTTGGATGGCAGCGGCGGTCGAGGCGGCGGCGGGAGCCTCGGTCTCGGCTGTCTCCTCAGCAGGAGATTCCTCGGCTCCGCCACAAGCGGATAGCAAAAACAGCAGCAGAATCGTTACTCCCAAAATCCATAACTTTCTCATGGCTAACGCACCTCTCGACTACTGAAATGCCGTTTTCGGACACAGATTGCTGGTTGAGGCAAGTTTGTAAGCGGTTTTCTTCTCCATTGCACTATTCTTCACGAACTGTGATAGTTTTTAGTGGTATAGAAGTATTATTGCGAAGTTCATTTCAGTCAACCGTGCACAAAGCAATACAATTAGGTTCACAGTATCGGGTGTTTGACGCTTGAGGGACGATGTCGGCCGCGGAGGAGACTCGGCACTGCCGTCAGGGAGATAGACAATCTCAATGGCTTGTGCGCCCAAGTCGGCTTCCGACCTATCCAAGGGCCCAGGTTCGGTTCTTGACCGCTGAACGGCGGTATGCCGCAAGATTGACGTCGAAAACGAGTCAGGGGCGGGAGTGCATCCCGCCCCTGACTCGTTTCAGAGAACTTCAGTGGGCTACCGCAGCTACTTGGCGTACTGGGGAGCCTTGAAGTTATCAAGAGGCTGTGTGATGGGCGCCTCGACCGCAGTCCCGTCCGGGTTCACCTTCATCCCCACAATCGGACCGATCTTTTCGTTGAACACGTCGATTACTGGTTGGTCAGCGCCACCGACACGCTTCACCCATTCCGGCATGAGGGCGCCCAGGACCGCATTCTGGTAAGCAAAGTCCTGCAGTTCGGGCGAAAATGGTCTGTACGTCAGGCCCGCGGTGGTGTTCTTGATCAGCCCCTGCTCATGCTGGACGGCAGCGGTCCGCAACTCTTCCAGTTCGTTTAACGCGGCCTCCTCGAGCAGGATCTTTTGCAGGTCCTCGGGCAGCTTGGCCCACTCGTTCTTGTTCATCACCATTGCCGAATTGTCCCAGCTGATGACAGGACCGTTGATGTAGTCGGTCACCTCGTACCATCGCTGGCCAAAACCGGCGTCCCCACCCGTCATGGCAGCGTCTAGGATGCCTCGTTCCAGGGCCGTATACACCTCGGTGAAGGCCATGAACTGGGCGTCAGCCTCCATTCCTCCCAGCCAACTGGACATGGCAGCGGTGGGGGTACGGATCTTCTTCTTCTGCCAGGCCTCCACGGTATCCAGGGGGTCCTTGCTGAAGAAGAACACGTTGTTGCCCGAATGCCAGTTCAGGGAAATGTACTGGCCTCCCTCTGTGGCCTCCACAGCTAGGGCGCTCAGTTCCGGGGTCACGTGGGCCATGGCAATGTAGTTGTGTTCGAGGGTCGGGTAGATCCCGAACAGGCTGCCGATCTCAATGGCAGGGAAGGCACCGGCAATGTACTGGGCGATGTCTGCCATCGCCAGGGTACCGTCCGCAACCAGGCTGTGAACGTCAGGCCCGGCCAGGCCCAGCTCGGGGAAGGACGTCGTGACCAGCTTGAGCTGACCGTTGGTTCGCTCCAGCACCCTCGGGAACATGTAGTCTTCCTTGAGTGCGCACCACAACAGGGCCCGGTTGATGCAGGCGTACTGAATCTCGAACTCCTCGCCCTCGGTCACCAGTGGAGTCGGGTTCTCCAGGTTGGCCCGCTCCAGGACGCTCTGGTAATACTGGGACTCGAATATGTATGCGTGCTTTTCGATCGCCTCCAGGGGGACGTTACCGTCAAAGTCGCCCAAGCGGGGTTCGGGCGCCGGACCAGCCAGCTGCCCAAAGTCGCCCACGAATATCGCCCCTGGCCCGTTGGCGTTCTCATCGGCATAGGCTTGCAGTTTCGCCGATACGGTTGTCTCGGATTCCACCTCAGGCTGCTCCTCCTGTGCTGCCACCATGGTGGGTTCTTCCGTAGCCTGGACAGCCTCCGTTGCGGGCACTGGTGTGTCCGTTGGGATGGCAGCGGCGGTTGGGGCGGCGGCGGGAGCCTCGGTCTCGGCTGCCTCCTCAGCAGGTGATTGCTCGGCCCCACCACAAGCGGAGAGCAAAAACAATAGCAGGACCGCTACACCTGTTATCCATAACTTTCTCATGCCTGCCGCACCTCTCGATTACTAAAATGCCGTTTCCTGGCATTGACCGCTGGACAATGCCGGCGCGTTTACGTTTTCCGTCTCCTTTGCAAAAAATCACGAACTTATAGGGATAATTTACCGTGCCGAAGTATTATTGCTAATCATCTGTCAGTCAACCGTGCGCAAAACGATACATTTCCGCGAGCATTATCGGGTGTTTGACACATTGAGGACGAGGCCAGGCGCGAACAATCCTGGAGTTGGTTTCAAATCTTGGCACTGGTTTCAGGAAGATAGACAATCTCACATTGGAATCCTTATAATCCGGCACAGACAGGGCTCATTAGGCCGGTCGCCTTCGTGCGCGCCGGTTTAGTCCCCTACTGTGGACTTTTCACCGGCCAGACTACTAAGGCAGGAGAGGCATTCATGGCCAACCAAGACATCGAGCTTATGGCTCACCTCATGCGCCGCGCCGGGTTTGGCGCCACTTACGAGGAAATCGAACGGCGGACGGCTGCCGGCTACGAGGCCACTGTAGAAGAGCTCCTCTCTCCAATGGAACAGCCAGACCTCGACAAGCCCCTGTTGGAGCGCTATTTCGTCGACTGGAAGGAAATGAACGCCCTGGAAGTCAACCAGGCATATCTGACCTACCGGATGATCAACACACAGCGCCCCCTCCAGGAGAAGGTGACCCTGTTCTGGCACGCGCTATCTTCTGCTTATACGGCAACTCACAAGCTCTTCCGTGACACACTGGCGCCAGATCCAGGACCAGTTGGATATGTTCCGCACCTTGGGAATGGGCAGCATGCGCGACTTGTTGCTGGAACTGTCTCGGGACCCGGCCATGGTCTTTTTCCTGGACAACTGCATGAGCCATAAGGACGCCATCAACGAGAACTTTGGGCGGGAACTGCTCGAGCTGTTTTCCATGGGCGTCGGCATGGACGGGCACGCCAACTATTCAGAGGATGACGTCAAGGAATGCGCCCGCGCCTTTACCGGGTGGACCATCACCAACGCCATCCCCCGCTATCCCTACGGCCGCTATTCCTCCCAGTTCGTCTTTAATCCCACCGACAACGACGAGGACGAAAAGACATTCCTGGGCGAGACCGGTAACTTTGGCGGCGAGGCCATTATCGACATCATCGCCCGCCAGCCGGCGACTGCCCGCTTCATCGCACGCCACCTGTACAACTACTTCGTGGCCGACGAGCCGCAGATCCCGGCTTGGCAGGACACTCCGCCTCGCGACCCCGAAGCCATCAAGATGCTGGAAGACGCATACTTTGAGTCCAATTACAGCATCACCGCCATGCTGCGAACGATGTTCAACTCGGAGTTCTTCAAGAACGCCCGCTTCGCCAAGGTCAAGAGCCCGGCGGAGACCGTTGCCGGCACCATGCGACTGGTGCAGGACTTCACCCACCCCAAGCCCGGCCTGCATCCCATCGCCATGGAAATCCGCTACATGGGTCAGGACCTGCTGAACCCGCCCACGGTAGAAGGCTGGCACACCGGCGCAGAGTGGATCGACAGCGGTACGCTGGTGGAGCGCATTAACTTCGCCGCCGACCAGGTCGGACCCACACGACTGCTGGCATCCGCGCCATCATCGATCGACTGTCTCCGAGAGCATCACGAGCCTGTGTCCTTCGTTAACGCTGCCTGATATGGTTGGCTCCTACCAGTTGCCGGACGAGACCCGCGGACTACCACTCGTCGACACACGTAGAGAAGGAGGAGCGCGCTGCAGACAGACCCGGCACCGCAGACTATGCCCGCCGCGTCGCCCAGACTCCTCACACATCGAATCGTCGCTACCCAGCGTACCAGTTCGCATAATTGAGGGTATTGTGGAGTGAGCGACTTGCAGTTTGCTCACTCTCCCGGATCACAATCACGATTCGCAGGTGAAAATATGGGCCAGACTGGATGGCAAGGTGTGCTGATCATCTGGGAGCCAGGGGCTAGGGGCCTTGAGGCCGCATTATGGCCCAGGAAGGCGCCTGTGTCATCGGCGGCATCTCTCGACGACCTTGGCAGCAGTAGAACCGAGTTGGCCGAGGCTGGGCTGGCGCACCTATGTCCACCCGAAGTTACCATCGAGGACGACTGACTCCGGCGTTTCTGCCGCCGTTCTCTGCCTACGACACTTTGGAACGCTGGTCAACAACGCCGGCATCCTAATCCGAAGTGCATCGAGGACACGCTGTCGAGGATTGGGACGGATAATGGACATCATGCCAGGGCTTCTTTCCTTGGGGGGGACCAGGGGAGGCCGCCATCCCCAGCTTGCGTGAGGTCTGCGGCGGGTCCATCGTCAAATCTCGTCTACCGCAGGACTGGTGGTAGCCCTGGGGTTCGTCCAAGCTACACCCGCACCAAGGGGCGAGGTTAGACTGCTCAGAAATCACCGCTATCCATTCACGCCTCCTGAGGGCAATCCGTTGCAACTCTGTGCTCCCTGGCCCATCGACAACTGAGATGGGATCCGGACTCCTTCTTCTCCGACCCTGACGCTGGGAAGCCCGGATGTGCCTCCTTCCCTCAAGCGGGTCGGCACCCCTGAAGGACAAGCCTACGGCTGTGATCTACCTTGGCATCCAACGAATCATCCTTCGTGACTGTGGCTCCGAGGCTGGTCATCGACGGCGGTACTACTGCAGAGTAGTGCCTCCCAAGTCCTGATCGACAAGCTACAAGAGACCATACAAGGAGTGCCAGAATATGACTTCAACCAAAAAAGATCCCGTGCTGGCGGTATTGCAGCTCTCGGGCGGCAACGACGCCGTGAACACCCTGATCCCCTACGGCGACCCGCTCTACGCCGACAATCGCCCCACCGTGCGCGTCTCCGACTAGGCAGTGCTGCGCGCGCAACGATTCTGTCGAGCTTCAACTCACATGGTCCCTCTGACATGACCTGTAGACCAGGGGAAGGTCCTCGTCATCCGTGGCATCGGCTATCCCAGCAACCCCAACCGCTCTCACGCCCAGCTCCAGACATCTGCACCCTGCGAGCCGTGACAAAGTCGGCTGGAAGGCTGCAGCGGCCGGGCCCTCCGACGACGTCAGCAGTCGAGCATGTTTTGACCGCGTGAACATTCGGGCGCGGTCTGCCTCGCTCGAGTGCGCAGGTCACGGTGCCTCGGATCGGCAACCTCGAGACCTACGGGTGCTGACCGGCATGGAAGGAGGAAGAGCGCGATGAAGCCCTCGACCTGTATCGCTCGCACGCAGGTATTCCTCCCTCCCCGCCATCGCAGCGGCGGCGTGTGACTACGCTGTCCCACCCCGCATGGACGCCACCGAGGCGCACGACATCCTGCCACGCGCACGGTATGTACAACTCCACGTGGAGAGGGCAACGCACAACTGTGGCTCCAGTACAAGCGCGCACAAACTTTGCCATGGTGCACTTGGTCCATCGGAACCCGTTCCTCTACACCACGCTCCCTACAACAGCTCGGACATCAGCGCCGTTTGCGCTCAGTGCTCACGCCAAGCTAAGGGGCGGGCGATGGAGTGACGCCTCCCGCGCCATCTCAACGTCTACCAGGACATCAGCGAGAATTCGGCAGCGACAACGTCGTCCGGCTGGTCTTCACGCGAGGTCGTCCGCCGCGATCCCGTACAACGGCTCCGCACCGACCACGGCTCCTGCGGCGTCGTCCAAAACGCTTCGTCTTCTGCGACCACATCCAGTGGCTCGGCCCGTCTACGCTGAGTACCTCGATGGCTCCCGACAGAGCGGCTGACGGCGACCTGCACTTCACAACGACTTCTCGTGGCGCTACTCCACCACCCTGCTGGCGTCAGTGGATGGTCTGGATGCCAAAGCCGATCGTCGGCGGGACCTTCGAGCTAGTTGGACTATCATCGTCCGCCTGAGAGACACAGTCGAGATTGCCTTGCCCCACCGCCCCTGGGATGCCACATCCGGGTTGGGTCCCTCGCGCGTAAGCTCTGCGACAACCGAATCGAGCTGCGGTAACGATGCTACACAGACTCTCGTGCATTAGCCTACCACTTCCAGTACGCCAAAGCCACACCATCGGTCGCGCGAGTCTCCGGCTCCCCGCTTCTCGCACCCGTCGCATGGCTCGGGGCTGAAGACGCCACCCTGTACGCCGCCACCGCTCCTCACGAATACCGCGCGCGCGGCAAGCGCATCACCTCTGCACCATCGATGAGGACTACGTTGCGATTCGCGCCCGTGGCGTCCACACCGCTGTGAGACCGAGGAACCGAGGACGACGGCTCCCGCCTATGGCCCCACCTCCGTCGCCATCGACAGCAAGGCACGTCCTACATCGCCGATGAGTGGCTTGAACCGAATCTCCATGTTCGACCGTCGAAGCGGCGAGTGGCGCGGCAAGTTGGCACCAAACGGCAGCAGCGTCGACGCGAGCTCTACGGCCCTCCGGCATGGCGTCGACGCGCGACGACACGTGTTCGGCCGTTGACAGTACGGAACCAACCGCTCAGAAGTTCACAGCACACCCGACGGCATTCATTTCCAAGTTTTGGACCGAGGAGCGGCAGAGGCGATCTCAGCCTGCCCTGTGGGGCATCTCCCTCGACTGGTGAAGCAGCATCATCCGTCGCCGTACTGGCGCAACGACCGGGTACAGAATTCACCGCCGACGGCCAGTTCCTGCAGGCCTACGGCGAAGGCGACTGAACCGCCCTACCAGCGTCGACACCGACAGTCAGGGCCTGATCTTGTCGCCGACTGGGGCAAACGAAAAGGTCCGATCTATAGAGCCCCGAAGGCGAACTGGTATCCACCCTCACCGGCGACGCCACATGTCCAGTGGGCAAGGACAAGCTCGACGCCAACTCCGAGATGTGGCAGGAGCGCGAGATCGCTCAGGGACATCGAGCGCGAGAAGGACTTCTGGGCGTATCTGCACGTCGAGTCGACGATCAGGACCGCCTCTTCGCGTTGAGTCCTGCCGCAACAGATCCAGATCTACCGCAGCAGCAGCCCATGTTTCTTCGGT